GTTGCCACCTACATGACCCCGACCGGGGCCGGGGACAAACCACAACTGAGGTATGTGCCCTTAGCGGGAACCGAACCCGGGACACTGGTCCATGGGCTCTAACCGCTGAGCCAAACCATCCAGGGCTGCTGTTTTGATTTATAATAAAATCATGCGTTTGGAAGTCTTTGGTTATTTTGTATCTTTAAAAACATTTTAAAATTGATTTGAGAGAGAGGGAGAGAAACAGTGGTTTGTTGTTACACCTATTTATGTATTTGTTGTTTGCTCATTGTATGTGCCCTGACTGGGGATGGTTCTGCAGTCTTGGTGTATCTGGAAGACACTCCATTTTTTGGTTATTTTGAAAGTCTACACATTGTACCCTCTGTGTCAAGCCTTTGATTTACCTGCTTTTTTACGTTCAATTGATCCTGTCTGTTAAGATGTTTCATCAGATTTCTTTGGGACATTTTTCTGTGGTACCTAATGCTGTTTTATCCTCCCGTTTCTTTGAGAATTGGATATTATAGATTAAATGTTCCATAAGTTTTCTAGAGCTACCATGACAAATGTGGTGACTCTAAAACAATAGAAAATTTTCTTTCACAGATCAAGAGGCCAGAAGTCTAAAGTCAAGGTGGAGGCAGGGCCATGCTTCCTCTCGAAGCTTTTAGGAGAGAATCCTTCTTTGCCTCTTTCAGCTTCTGGTGGCTCTTGATGTTTCTTGTCTTGTTTTTTTTTTTTTTTTTTAATTTTTTTTTTCTTTATTGATTTTAGAGAGAGAGGAAGGGAGAGGGAGAGAGACATAGAAACATCGATGAGAAGGAACATCGATTGGCCGACTCCTGCACGCCCCCCACTGGGGATTTGGCCCACAACCTGGGCATGTGCCCTGACCAGGAATCGAACCAGTGACCTCTTGGTGCATGGGTCGATGCTCAACTACTGAGCTATACCGGCCAGGCGATGTTTCTTGTCTTTTGACAGCATAACTCAGTTTTCTTCCTCATCTTGATATGGCCATCTTACCTGCTGTGTATATCCTATCATTTTACATGGACACCAGTCGTTGGATTTAGGACTCACCATAAATCTAGGATGATTTCATTTTGAGATCCTTAACTAATTACATATGCAAAGATCCTGTTTCCAAATAAGATCACATTTTGAGGTTCAAGATAGACATGAGATTTTGGGGGATACCATTCAACTCACTACAGGTATAAAGGGGAATATTTACACGATTTAAGCTTTGAAAAGGGGAAGGAAGCAGGACTAAGTAATGTCAAAACTATTTTGCAGTCTGCAGAAATGTTATTTTGGGCCACTCAAGTCTGAATGCTCTCTGCTGTATGCTCTAGATTTCGGTCTCAAGTGAATAATTATGGGCTAATAGGGCTTGGAGCATAGGTCTGCCCTCATTAAGTAACTTTTCAGCAAACTAGGAATAAATGACCTCCTAAAATGAATATGATTGTGTGGTCAATTTGAGTGATAAAATGTGAGATTCTGTGGTACTTTTATTTATTATTATTTTTTTTTATGAAATATTTTTTAAAATTTTTTTGTTACAGATATTTCACCTTTTTTTACTGTGGTACTTTTAAATTGTGAAATTTTACTAGAGTGATAGTATAGTGATTAAAAGCAAGGACTTTAAGAGTCAGAATTTGAAACCAGTTCAAATTATCGGAATTCAAATTCTGACTCTAATCCTTAATAGTTGAGATTACTATGGGTAAATTGGTAAACCCTCAATGCAATGTCTCATTAAAATAAAGGTTAAAGGAATAATACCTTATGAATACATGTAAAGTGCATGAACTGCCTGGCCCACAGTAACTGCTCATTGAATTTTTAAAAAATATGTTTTATTGATTTTTATATAGAGAAGAAGGGAGAGGGAGAGAAAGAGATAGAAAAATTGATAAGAGAGAAATATCGATTGGCTGCTTCCTGCACGCTCCCTACTGGGGATGAAGCCCACAACCTGGGCATGTGCCCTGACTGGAAATCAAACAAGGGGTTGAATAGGTGACTTCTTGGTGCATGGCACCGTGCTCAATCCACAGAGCCACACAGGCCAGGCTACTCATTTAATATTAGCGGCTACTCATTTAATATTAGCTGCTACTGCTTTCATCATTGTTGATGCTCTTCAGAAGAAAAACTCAATACTTTAAAAATTTATGCCTGTTTTTCTAGTGGTAAGGATGAATTTCTACTGATGAATTCAGAGATTCCTACCCAGTGTTGCCTTAGCAAGGACACTTTTTAGGTAGAGGCTGGGAGTAGCAGAGAACACAGGATAAGATTACTGGTTCCTGGTTTCACTAACAGACACTAAGTGAGTAGCCATTTTAGTGATTTGTATAGAACTTGCCTCAGGCAGACCCTTCCAATGAGTCTTTATTTATTGTACATCAAGCAAATCCCCCTTTTCTTTATGTCATGATGGTATCAACCTGAATTTTAATGTAAGTCATTAAACATCTTGTCTCTGAAGTTAACCTCTCTAAAGGATCTTACATATAATTGGCCATCTGTATCGATGGGTCTCTCATCCACAGATACAACCCAGCTGTGGATAGAAAATATTGGGGGGTGGGGGGAGCTTCTTGTTGCCGATGTGTGCTCTAGTTAGGCCTATCATGGTTGGTACTGAATATGTACAGACCTTTTCTTTCTTGTCGTTATTCCCTAAACAGCATAGTATAGAACTATATACATAGCATTTACATTGTATTAAGTATTAAGTAATCTAGAAGTGATTTAAAGTATAGGGAGGCCCTGGCCGGTTTGGCTCAGCGGTTAGAGCGTCAGCCTGCGGTCCAGAGAGACCCGGGTTTGGTTCCCGCTAAGGGCATGTACCTCGGTTGTAGTTTGTCCCCAGCCCTGGTTGGTCGTGCGGGTGGCAGCCACTCGATGTGTCCCTTTCATGTCGATGTTTCTCTCTCTCCCTCCCATTCTGAAAAAAAAAAAAAGGAAAAATGTCCTCGGGTGAGGATAAAATAAATAAAATAAAGCATAGGGAGAATATGTATAGGTTATATGCAAATACTGTGCTATTTTATATAAGGGACTTTAGCATCTTCATATTTGGTATCTGAGGAAGAATAACCAATCCCCTGCAGATACTGAGGGAGGGATGATTGTAACTTTGAAGTTGTTTTTTCAGATGAATAGACTACATGTTTTAGCAGACATTTCAGCATGTTTTGGAAGTAATCTACTAAAGATTTGTTGTGGGAATGTAGTTTTCCTTCCCCTCAGGTTTTTAAATTTTTTATTTATCTTTATTGTTGAAAGCATTCCCCTCAGTTTTTAATATTTCTTCCAGAGGTATATGTTACTAATAAGACTTTTTATTTTATTTATTTATTTAAAAACATTTTTTTTTCTTTATTGATCTTAGAGAAGAAGGGAGAGGGAGAGAGAAAGAGAAACTTCGCTGAGAGAGAACATCAGTTGGCCACGTCCTGTATGCCTCCCACTGGAAATTTGACCCACAACCTGGGCATGTGCCCTGACTGGGAATTTAACTGGCGACCTCTTGGTGCTTGGGTCGATGCTCAACCACTGAGCCACACCAGCTGGGCAATGAGACTTTTTAGAAAACTGCACTGAAGGGTAATACTCTTCTGCTTTTTCTGCTTATCTGAACCCCGAACTCTCCTAAGTGAAATGCTGCAATGTAGTTTACTGAGTTTATTAAAATATTTTAAAAATAGATTACAAGAATTCACTGATGATTAAACATTGCCAAACAGGTTTTTCCCTTTCTCCCCTCTCTCTCCAGCCTGTTTGCTGGTTTTTTAACATTATTCATGAAGAGAATGGAAACTGATTATCTGTGTATTACATGCATGTATTATCTCAGTTAAACATAACCATGTGTAGGTATTTTATATAAGGAAACCTAGGCTTAGAGACATGGAAGTTGTTCAGGGTCACATGTACAGAATGGTGGAGTTGATATTTGAGTGCATGCCCTTCTGGTTCTATTAACTGCTCTTTTCCAACATGTGCCATTGCCTCTCTAAATCAGAAAGCTCAGACAACTAGTTCTTGCTAACAAAATATTTGTTATATACAAAGAAAAGAATGAAGTACATAAGTGAAATTCCAAGCTTAAAATTTTATCTTTCATTCTTTGATATGAAAATGTTTCCATGTTTTGTTCTGAGTATACAAGGTTGGAATGGAACAGGGTGGGGTGTGTATATATGCAAATGGTGGGTCCTTGAGGAAAATGGATTATTTGAATAGCATAATCCTTGAAGATGTGTACTGTAAAAGATTCTCCTGTTCAATTCCTTTATTTTTTAAATATGTTTTCATTGATTTTTCTAGAGAGAGAGAGAGAGGAAGGGAGAGAGAGATAGAAATATTGATTTTAGGTAGAAACATTGATGGGCTGCAGCCTCCTGCACGCCCCGTACTGGGGATCAAGCCCAAAACCTGAGCCTGTGCCCTGACCAGGAATTGAACCGGAACCTTAGTCCATGGGATGATGCTCAATCTGTTGAGCTATACCGGCTGGGCCCTTTACTTATTTTTATTTATTTATTAAAAAATACTTTTTTTCTTTATTGATTTTAGAGAGAGAGGAAGGGAGAGGGAGAGAGAGATAAAAACATTGATGAGAGAGAATATTGATTGGCTGCCTCCTGCATGCTGCCCTCACTGGGGATTTATTTGTTCTACAACCTGGGCTTGTGGCCTGACTGGGAATCAAACCAGCGACCTCTTGGTGCATGGGTCAATGCTCAGCCACTGAGCTGCACCAGCTGGGTCCTTTATTTATGTTTAGCAGAAAGAGTCTCATCCTGGTTAGCCATCATAGTTTTAAATTTTGTGTAAGATTTTGCCTTTAAATAGGTCACAGACTGTTTTTTTAAGGCAGAATGCTTTTCAGTACAGGCACCTTTCTAAATGAACCTCTCTGCTTATTCTAGTCTCTTCTCACAGTTAAAAATGTCTTGGGAAATTAAAAGAATTGTTTTTTTTTTCTCTAGATTAACTGCTGAAGTACTGATCGAGTTCTGCGTTTCTTCAATGAGGAACTACAGGCTGATCTTCTGCCATAATCTCAAACAGCCATAAATGACAAAAGAATGCTTGCTCAGTGAGGGTAGCTGGTACAGAATCCATTTTTTAAACTTAGGTGTTTAAGTGCTCAAAGGTAAGTTTTTCAAAATGGTAATTATCCCATGCTGAATAAGTCCACAGAGATTTTGGAGTTTACCTACTATTACAGCTATTTGATTATTAATTTGAGGTTTTCCATTCAGTAGTTCACACCAGATATGTGGAAGAATGGATTTTGCTTGTCTAGAATTAAATTTATGACATTTTGCTGTCCCTAAGTTAATGTCTACTGTTCTTGTGTGTTGGATGGATTCGTTACCCAGTCACATTGTGACACTTTCTTGATCCAGTGGGGACATCTATTCTATATATGAACCTTGTTTTGTAAAAACTTCAGAATATTGAACAGATTAATTTTTTTGCTTTGTTACTTTTCTTGTGCAAAAGGAGTTGTTTTTCTGTGGTGATAAGAAAAGCCCAGTTTATGTCATTTTGTTCATTATCAACTTTTGAAATAGTTCCCTCCCCCCTTTTTATTGAATGCATTGGTGTGACACTGGTAAACAAAATTATGCAGGTTTCAGGTGCATAATTCCACAACATACCATCTGTACACTGTATTATGTGTTCACCACTCCAGTCAAGTTTCCATCCATCACCATTTATCCTCCTTGTTTCTTTCCAAAATACTCCTTCCCCACATAAAGTAATATGTTTATTGTTAGAAAATGAACTTTTCTTGGGGTTGCTTTTTGAAGCTTCAGATATTAGAAACATTTTCTCCCACTCTTTTTTTTTTAATCCTCACCCGAGGCCATTTTTCCATTTTTTGTTCAGATAGTGTGGGAGGGAGAGAGAAGAAGAAAGAAAGAGAGAGAAACATCGACATGAAAGGGACACATCTAGTGGCTGCCTCCCACACAATCCCAACCAGGGCTGGGGACAAACTGCAACCAAGGTACATGCCCTTAGCGGGAACTGAACCTGGGTCTCTTTGGACTGCAGGCTGACGCTCTAACCACTGAGCAAAACCGACTAGGGCCCACTCCTTTATTGATCACAATTCCTACAAAGTTAAGACAAATAACAGTTCTTCTGAACTAAACTGGCTGTGCAGATTTTTGTTTTGAGTAATTATGAAACAGGATTGATGACATTCTCATTAAAAGTGGATGTCTAGAACTGAAAAGTTTCCTTTGTTTATAAAGACATATTATGGCTGCTCTGTCATGTGGAAATGAGAACTGGTTAATCTTGTTCTCATTAGCCCATTGTTTATAAAAAGTGATTTTTAGCATACCTCTTTGTGAAAGTGATTCTCCTATTTGGGTGCTTATGAATGGAGAGATCAGATGAGCTTCATATAATAAGAGTCCAGACATGATTGGGTTTGGCTTTTTACCTGTGTCATTACTAAGCTTGGTTAGTAAAGGTCTTCTTTGAAACAGATTTGCCCTTTAATTTGTCTTTGGGACATTAATGTCCTTTGCTAAGTTTAATGATCAATTTTGCCATTGTTTGATAAATATGCAAGTGCCAACTGGAGTATTCAGAATTTTAACCCTAAGTAGTAGAGTAAATGCTTAGATGATTGTATTGAACTTTATTTGTAGAACTCACTAGAATAGTCCTGATAACTGGAACATACGGAAGATGAGAACACACTGAAGTGTAAAGCCTTTTTCTTTAATGTATTTAGTCATATTGCCACCTGTTAACTATTATAGTCCTTTTGTTGTTGTTTTTCACTTGGCAGAAAAGACAGCTTTGATTTCTGGCTGCAACAAAGATATGAGGAAGAGCTCCTCCCCTTCCTTGAGTAACTGCAACTCCGTTCTTGCTAACAAAATATTTGGAATTCCACTTGATGAGCTGCAGCAGGGAGGACATCCAGACAATGAGGTTCCGTTCATAGTTCGCCATGTTGTGGACTATATTGAGGAACATGGTATACATTTCTTTACTTTGAGGGTTAGCTTTTGTTTTAATAAACATAACTTACCCCTTTTTGACCTTGGATTTAAAAACATTTATTTTTTAGCATGGAAAGTCCAAAATATAGTGAGGAAAAACAATAGAAATTCTTTTTTTTAATATGTTTTTATTTATTTTGTTTTTTAGAGAGAGAGAGAGGAAGGAAGAGGGAGAGAGATAGAATATCGATGTGAGAATCATCAGTCAGCTGCCTCCTGCACGCCCCCAAGATTGAGCCCGAAACCCAGGCATGTGCCCTGACTAGGAATTGAACCATTGACCTCTTGGTGCATGGGATGATGCTCAATCCATGACTCACACTGGCCAGGCCAATAGAAATTCTTTTCTATGATTCAGAAATGCCCAGAGTAGAGCATTTTAGTGTGCGTGTGTGGGGAGAAATAATAGAAATATATATATATATATATATATATATATTTTTTTTTTTTTTTCTTCTTCTTCTTCTTGATTTTGAGAGAGAGAGGAAGGAAGAGGGAGAGATAGAAACATCAATGAGAGAGGACATTGTTTGACTGCCCCCTTCATGCCCCCCACTGGGGATTGGGCCCACATCCTGGGCATGTGCCCTGACCAGGAATTGAACCGGTGACCTTCTGATGGGTTGATGCTCAACCGCTGAGCCACACCGGCCGGGCAATAATAGGAATATTTTTAATGGATGATAGGGGGTGGGATAAAATAGAATATCCCTCAGGACAGACAGAGTTAGCATCTTTCTAGATGTGTAATTTGAAGGTGTTGAGCACAGTCAGGGGAGCTAAGAATGGCTTTCCAAAAGTATGAATATTTGAAGTTGATTGGAGAATGAATATATAACCAAATAATTGAAGTTGATGCTATTTTAATTTTGCCTTGAACTAATGTAGGAGGTCTGGAGCAACAAGGACTTTTTCAAGTCAATGGGAATGCTGAGACAGTGGAGTGGCTTCGGCAGAGATATGACAGCGGAGAAGAAGTGGATTTGGTTAAGGAAGCAGATGTTCCTTCAGCTATTAGTCTTCTTAGGTTTTTCCTTCAAGAACTTCCTGAACCTGTTATCCCTGGCAGTTTGCATATTAACTTGATGCAGCTTTCTCAAGGTAACACAATTTGATTTTTTTTTTTAATCCTCACCTGAGGACATTTTTGCATTTATCTTTAGATAGAGCGGGAGGGAGAGAAGGAGGGGGGAGAGGGAGAAACACTTGTGTGAGAGAGATGTTTGACTGGCTGCCACCCACACGACCCCAACCGCGGCCGGGGACAAACTGCAGTCGAGGTACGTGCCCTTAGCGGGAACCAAACCCAGGACTTTTTGGTCTGCGGGCCGACACTCTCTAACCACTGAGCCAAACTAACCAGGGCCACAATTTGATTTATATCAACCAGTCATTTAACATTAATTTCAAAGTCCTTACCTTTTAGAAATCTTGATTTGTAAATAGTAATTATAGTACTGAAATTAATTTCTTATGTTCCCATTCAGGGACATAGGCTCTTTGGGGATGTATGGTCTAGTTAAGGAATGGCAACTTACTAGATTGCTGTGATACTATTTACTTTTTATAATTGGAGTAAGATATAGGGTAAGAAGGAGGAAAGGCAGGAGAAAAGAACAAGGAGTAGGAGGGTAGGGAAAAAAGGAAGAAAATATATACGTAAGGTGATATATGTGGCAGAGTGTCCGATAATAGCCATTGCTGTTGCTTAGTGGTAATGTTGCTATAGGATATTTATCCCTGGTTTGATAGAACTTCCTAGCAAAAACCAGAAGACAACTTTGATTCTAGGTTTAAAATATACCTAAAGCTTATTCTTGGACACCTGCCTCAAGGAAATAAAATATCAAATTGGACACTAGGCTCTACTCTAAATGAGGAAAAAAATTGTCCTTATTGGTTTTTTTGGTGGTGACTAAAAGTAGGGCCCAGCTGGAATGGAATAGGGACAAGGAAGGTAAAGGTAGGGAAAGGCAGAGAGGTGAAAGAACCAAGAAGTGAGGAAATGCTTGTGTTCCTAGAGCCAAATGGTATTCATGTATATGTAATGAGTGACATGTTTCATTATACAGGAAACTTTATAAAAGGTGGCATATAATATATATTTCTTAAATTAAAAAGATTATTTTGTCCTGGCTTTTCTCTTTGTATTATGGAATCTTTTTTTTGTACTTATCTTCACATAGAGTGGGAGGGAGGGGGGAGAGAGAGAGAGAGAGAGAGAGAGAGAGAAACATTGAAGTGAGAGAGACACATCGATTAGTAGCCACCCATACAACCCCAACCAGGGCGGGGATGAACTGCAACTGAGGTACATGCCCCTAGTGGGAATTGAACTCAGACTCCCTGGTCTGTGGGCTGACACTCTAACCACTGAGCCAAACCGGCCAGGGCTGTCTCTTTTATTTCTTAATTTATAAGCACCTGGCGAAACTAAATGAGTGGATGCCTCTGATTTATGTATAAAGGTCATTACAAAAATATTTTATGACCCTCTTACATGTGTTTTCTTCTGTATAGCTGGATGACGGGACTTACTTTGACCTTGCTGTATTCGTGAATGGTTAGCTGATTTTGTTCTTGTATTGTGCCACCTGGATCAAAAGACATTTTTCAAGCCTGGCTGGTGTGGCTCAGTGGATTGAGGGTTGTACCATGGATTGAGAGGTTCCCAGTTTGATTCCCGATCAGGGCACATGCCAGGGTTGTGGGCTTCATCCTCAGTGGGGGTTGTGCAGGAGCCAGCCAATTGATGTTTTTTTTCTGACATTGATGTTTCTGTCTCTCTCTCCTTCCCGTTCGCTCTCTAAAAAAAACCACATGATCAATAATGTCACCTTTCTTCAAAGTGTAACTTTGTATTTTCCCCCAAAAACTAATGCTTTTTTTTGTTGTTTTGAATTTCTGAGTTCATTTCTTCACTTTCTTGTAGGGGTTTTCTCAAATGCTTATATAAAGTTACTTAATGAGCATTTTGCATCCATTAAATGTGTAATGAAACTGATGTGTTAGAGTTTTTTGAGCTCTTTTTATGACTCTTGAGCCATTTTTATTTTATAGTTATAGAGGTTTATGTTCCCTGTTTTAGATAAATTGTAGACAAGTCTTTAAAGTTTTAAGAATTAGATTAGCTTTCAGTATTGAACAAAAGGTTATAAAAGAATAATTGGAATGAGACTTAATAGTAATAAAGTCATTGACTCATTGAGACAGACTATCAGAAGCTGTTTTGTCACTTGAATTGTCATTTTGATTGATACTCATTTAAAAGTATGATAGCATCATCTATGTTATCTGTCTTTCATGGAATTACAATATACATCTGACTAATTAAATTTGAAGGAATTTAAGGTATGCAAAAATGCTTGTGGCCGATAAGTCTTTCAGTGTTACAATATGAGAAATTTACCATTTCCTTCGATTTCCTACTTACATAACCATTAGCATATGTGTGTATGCTTACACATGCAACCACATACACACCCATTTCTTTTTTTTTTCCTTTCTCATTTTTTTTGGTTAATCCTCAAATGGGGATATTTTTTCATTGATTGTTTTTAGTAGAAGGGAGGAATGGGAAGAGAGAAACATCGATGTGAAAGAGACACATCGATGATTGGTTGCTTCTTGCACACCTCGACCAGGGCCAAGGATCGAACCTACAAACCAGGTACGTGCCTTTGACCAGGAATTGAACCTACAACTCTTTGATCCATGGGCTGACGCTCCAACCACTGAGCCAAAACGGCCAGGGCTCCTTGTTTTATTATTTTTTCTTTTTTATTGATTTTTAGAGGAAGGAAGAGGGAGAGAGAAGATAGAAACATTGATGAGAGAAAACATCGATTGGCTGCCTCCTGCATGCCCCCCACCACACTCACAACCTGGGTATGTGCCCTGACCAGGAATTGAACTGGCGACCTCTTAATGCATGGGTCGATGCTCAGCCACTGAGCCACACTGACCGGGCAGGGCTCTTTTTTTAAAAATTCTCACCCGAGGATATTTTTCCATTGATTTTTTTTTTTCTTTTTAGATAGAGTGGGAGGGAACAAGTGAGGGAGAGACAGGAGACAGAGAGAGAGACATCAATGTGAGAGAGACTCATTGACTGATTGACTCCTGCAGGATCCTGACCGGGGCTGGGGACCAAACCTGCAGCTGAGGTACTGCCCTTGACTGGAGATCAAACCCACAACTCTGTGGTCTGAGGGCCTATATACTAACTGCTGAGCCAAACCAGCTAGGAGAACACCGATTTCTTTAATAGCTATGCAGATGGGTGTTGGTAGTACTTGAGGTGGCATTGACATTTCTGTTGTGATTTATTTTGTTTACTCATCTTTTGAACATTCTTTTGGGAAGGTGTCTAGGTCTTTGAACTAAGATTTCTCTCTCCATTTATTGTAGATAAATGTTATGTTAATATTTTAACTGACATTCACAAATACATGAGAAGATTATAGCTTTTAAGATGAAGGGAACACTGATGCAGTTGCCTTTGATTTAGAGATTTTATTTATTTAAAAAAATTTTTTTAATTGATTTTAGAGAGAGAGGAAGGGAGAAGGGAGAGATAGAAACATTGATGAGAGAGAACATTGATTGGCTACCTCCTGCATGCTCCCCCCGGGGATTGGACCCACAACCTGGGCATGAGCCCTGACCAAGAATTGAACCTGTGACCTCTTAGTGCATGGGTTGACGCTCAACCACTGAGCCACACCTGCCGGGCAGTTTTTATTTTTTATAAGATATATATTGATTTTTAGAGAGAGAGAGAGGAAGGGAGAGGGAAAGAAAGCAATAGAAACATCCATGAGAGAATCACATCAATTGGCTGCTTCCTACATGCCTCCCACCAGGGTTTGAGCCCGAAACCCAGGCATGTGCCCTGAATGGGAATCGAACTGGTGACCTCTTGGTCCATGGGTTGATGCTCAACCACTGAGCCACACCGGCTGGCCTTGAGTTAGTGTTTTTATTTTTATTTATTTTTTGCAATTTTTGTAATTTATTTTTGTTACAGATGTTTCTCCTTTTCCCCCCAGAAACCCTCCTCCTAATCCTGCTGCACATGCCCCCACCCCACTGCATTGTTGTCTGTGTCCATTGGTTACGCATAAATGAATATAAGTTCTTCGGTTCATCTTGTCCGTCACCCCCAACTCCCTCCTCTGAGGTTTGTCAGTCTGATCCATACTCCTTTCTGTTCTGAGTCTATTTTGTTCAGCAGCTTATTTTGTTCATTATATTCCACAAATATATGAGATCATGTGGTATTTGTCTTTCTCTGATTGGCTTATTTCACTTAGCATAATACTCTCCAGGTCCCTCCATGTCATCTTCAAATGATAAAAGATCTCGCTTGCTCTCTCTCTCTTTTTTTTTTTTTGTTCAGATAGAGTGGGGGGGGGGAGAGAGAGAGAGAGAGAGAGAAACATCAATGTGAAAGGGACACATTGAGTGGTTGCCACCCGCATGACCCAACCAGGGCTGGGGACAAACTACAACCGAGGTACGTGCCCTTAGCGGGAACCGAACCCGGGTCTCTCTGGACCGCAGGCCGACGCTCTAACTGCTGAGCCAAACCGGCCAGGGCGAGATCTCTCTTTCTTACAGCTACATGGCACTCCATTGTATACATGTACTGCAGCTTTTTTTTTTTTTTTTTTTTAATCCTCACCCGAGGACGTTTTTCCATTTTTTTTTTTGTTCAGATAGAGCAGGTGGGAGAGAGAGGAAGAGAGAGAGAGAGAGAAACATCGATGTGAAGGGACACATCGAGTGGCTGCCACCCGCACGACCAACCAGGGCCGGGGACAAACTGCAACCGAGGTACGAGGTACGTGCCCTTAGCGGGAACCAAACCTGGGTCTCTCTGTACCGCAGGCCAACGCTCCAACCGCTGAGCCAAACCGGCCAGGGCTGTACTGCAGCTTTTTTATCCATTCGCCTACAGATAGACATTTGGGCTGTTCCCAGATCTTATCTATTATAAATAGTGCTGCTATGAACATAGGGATACATATATTCTTTCTGATTGGTGTTTCAGACTTCTTAGGATATATTCCTAGAAGTAGAATCACTGGGTCAAATGG